CATTCAAAAGATTCTAGAGACCCAAATCCAAAATTAGGAATTCGGTACAAGTCATGAAATTGGTTTTTTTTTTTTTTTTAAACAACGTCATGAAATTGGGATTTGAAGCTGCACAACCAAAAGTTCTAATTGACAGATGTCACAGCTGTAATTAAAAAATTGAACTTTTAAGTTTGAAGTTTGACGTTTAATTTTGTATTAAAATCTTTAAATTTAAAGATAAATTTAAAATTGAGTAATTATTTTTTGTTTTTTAACATGTATGATAGAAAAATGTTATACAGTTTAAATTATATTAAATTATATAATTAAGTCATTAGATAGAAAGTAATTCTTCAAATATTAAAAATTTTACTTTAATAAGTAATTTTTGTTTTACAATTCAATATAATTTAAATTATAAAACAAAATTCTCTATATATATTTGTAAAAAAAAAAAATATTACCACCAAGAATGGAAAATGAAATTAAGTAGTGATTAAAACTAAGCATGATTTTAGGGTTTATGCTCTCATTATCATTTATCACCCACTTCATTATGCTCCATATACATCAATTTCTTTTTGGATTTTTTCTTGATAGTTATCTCAACCATGAAAGCAACCTTAGAGCAACCCACTTCCCCATTTCATGTGGTCCTCCTAATTCTATGAGTCCAAAGAGTGTCAGCCTCAGTACGTACTCAGCTAGAGAGATGAAATTTGGGAAGGGGGGAAATATAACGGCAGGCATATATGGAAAAAAGATGCGACAGAAGAGGAGCAGGGAGGAGCTTCTTTTTCTTTCTTTCTTCCTTTTTTTTTTTAATATTTCAGGGAGGAACTTAAATTGGCTAGGGTTTTTGATGTTGTAGGCTGCAACTTAAAAAGTACAATGAAAAGCATCTATTTCTTGGCAAATTGAGCTTGTGCATGTCTGCATTCGGTACATAAGGCTTTTGACCTAACGAAAAGCTAAATAGATAAGCACGCATGGGAGAGGGAAGGAAAGTTACAAAAATATTCCACAGAGAATTGATGGTGGGGTGATAGAGAGAGAGAGAGATATTAGGTTTTTCTCTTTTCGGGGAAAGCGACTTAGACATAGACGGTCGCATTGCCTCTCACGGGTCATGACCATGCCTTTTGCCCTTGGGAGTGAAATAATAATTGTCCTTCTGTAAGGTTAGAAAATGCTACGTGGAGATTTCTTTATCTTATAATTTTTCTTAACATTATCTGATGAGCATAATCTCGTACACATTTTGCAACTCGAGTTGTAAGCCTTGTTGTAAGCCAGGCTGAGTGATATGCATTGTGACTAAGGTTCAAGCTTGGTTAAATCACCCCCCTCCTCCCCCTTAAGAATTTAGAATGTATTTCCGTGGTTCCCAAAAAAAAAAAAAAAATCGCCTACACAATTTAAATATGAATATGAGACACATTAACGAACTCATATTTATCTTTATGAATTGAATTAGAGAGCTCCATAACAAGCCACAGCTAGCTAATTAACAAGGTCCTATTTAATTTATTGTCAGATTTTGGTATATATTAAAAAATCGAAAACAAGCATTAGAGGGAACAGCTTTTCACAAAAAGTAAATTGTCACTTATTGTTTCCAAAAATTGTGGCAATTTGGGTTGTCAACTTGACAATCAAAGAAAGCAATATATTTTCCTAGTGTAATTTTTTACTTCCTTGAAAATAAAAAGGTTTAATGTCTGGATTTGATATCTCAAATTATTGATTTATCCCTGAACTTTTTTCTGTTCCAAAATGGTTCATGAACTTATTTTTCTGGATAAGAAAGCTTACTTGGCTATTAACTCCTTGAAAAATGCATGTTTACTTTTTATTTCTAGATCTGAAAGACAACTTATACAATTAAAAGGCATTGACAAAATTAGGACACTCTTCCCTTAAATCAAATTTATTATAATAGTTAAGCATCAATGAATGGGTTAGAATATCCCTTGGACTCTAAATAAATAAAATTATCTTTTACTTTTCAAAAAAAAAAATTATTACAATTTAGCAACAAGCTAAGTGTAATTATCCAAAAATAATAATTTTTTTAGTAAAAGTAAAAGATGTTAGATTCATGTCGCGTGATATATATGCAGGTGAGATAAGTTAAAGGAATATGGAAAAAGAGTTGGTCTTTTATTGTATAACCTAAATTTTTTTTAAAAAAATGTAATGTTACAATTAAAAGAAAATTAACCCTAATAATTATACATTTAACACATAAAACAACTTGAAATAATTTTTTTTAAAAAAAAGACATTGATTAGTACACACTTTGATTAACACATTATTATTTTATGATATGAAATTAAAGACAGACAAATTTAAATATGCAATCATGTACATAAGACACGGAAACCGATTAAATCAGTTATAGTTATATTATATTTTTAATGGATAAATCAATTGAGTGTCAAAAATATGTCAAACTGAGTATCTACCAATCATTTCTATTAAAGTAAGTTATGGGAGCAAAAATTAAATAACATAAAATCAACTAGTTATGGGACCAAATCAGACATTAAACTAATGAAACAAAGAAAGAAAGAAAGAAAAATATAAAGAAAATAATGATTTTTTAATTAGTATATTGTACAATGTGTTAAATTACAATGTGTATCAATTACTAAATAGATCTTTCAATGAAGCTACATATGTAGCTGCTTAAGGTTTCCCTAGGTTTTCTATTGCATCTTCAAAATATAATATAAAGGTTTACATATAAGTCATTTTACGCTACTTGTGTTCACCTCTTGAAGGGGCTTTCATATGCTACATGTACGGCTTTTTCTCCTCTTAGTAGAGGTTGATATGCTGCCTTGTTCGACTTGTGTCTTATTTGGTGTCCCACGTTGCAAGGTTAGTCCATCCTGAGTCCATCCTAAGTCTCAAGTGGGGGATTGTTTGCATTTAGTTGGTGTTTGTGGCGTGTGACTCCTATTGGCTTCCAGTGTGTTAGATCTTGCAAAATTGTGGAGAAGGCCTAGTATATTAGGAGGCAGAAGCGGTGAGGGTAGGAGAGTCCTCTTAGGTGGGTCATTATTTCTACTAATTGGAGGGTTGTAGGCAAACCTTCGTGTCATGGAATCCATATATGGATGGTTCCCTAACTCTTCTATTAGTTTGGTTATTGGGGTAAGGATTTCTCATTTCATGTAACTTTGATATTGGAGCCCTTCTGAGTATGTTTGA